TATATATATATATATACATACATACATATATATATATACATATATATATATATATATATATATATATATATATATATATATATATATACACACACACATACACACACATACACACACACAAATTAGTGGATTTCCTTACTTCCGGGTGCTGCTATCCTGTTGTTGTGACTGGTGTATTCTGGGAAATTTTCTTACTCCTTGGTTTCGAGCATGGTCCTGAAAATCTACCCCCATCTACCCCTTCCCCTTAGCCCTATGCCTTCAAGCTAATGAGAATTGGGACACCCCTACCCCTTCACATGAAACGAGGGGTAGAGGTAAGGGAAATGGCTAAGGGGTAGAAATGGGATTGGGCCTAAGTATGCGTCTTATAAAAATAAACTTAACACAAAGTAAATTTACCTTTTTTAGATTTGGCAGGTTGCTCCTCCTCATCCTCTGTGTGTTGCTCAGCGTGACCTTCCTGACTCTCTGTGCTGGTGTCCATCTCCTCTCTTCAGCAAATAAAGACAAGATTAATCAACTGAACAGGTATGTAAGCAATGAGATTTAGAAATGACTGTACTATTGGCTCAACTCACCCTGCCAATTGACCTCCATTTTTGGCCTCCTCTTTAAGTCTTTCATGTTTTTCTTTCAACTTCAGTTCCTGTTCCCTCAGCTTCTCCTCCTTTCTTTTTCGAACCCTGAAACATAGAAATGCAACTAATAGTCTCCCAGCATAAAAATCTTTGTACCAATAGGTAAGTGCAGGTGTAAGTAATGCCATACCTCTCTGCAGCTTCCTCTCGCTCTCTGCGATGCTGTTCAGCTTTAAGCTCTCGCAGTTCCTGTTTGGCAGCTCGCTGTTCGTCAGCATTATCCTCAATAAAATCTCTCGTGGAAACTAATGTCAGCAGTTTTCCACACATAGAATGGAGGATCTTCAGCTTTTCTCCTGAATGTACATTAGTATTACAAAATCAGAATATGCTTGCACGTGTGCTCACTTTACACAGGGTTCCCACACTTTAATGAACAGCAGATTCAAGGACTTTCTCAAAGAACAATTCATTTTTAAATCAAGCACGGTTGTAATTCAAATATTAACAACCACATATATCGTCATGAAAGTTCTTGATGTACTTAACATTTCATTTACTCTTAATAATTACATTAAAGAGTCATTGTCAAAAAGTTTGACTGTTTTAAAAAGTCGTTCAAAGAATTTTAATAAAAGCTTGTTGAATTCACAACCAGTGATATTCAAATGTGGTTTCTGAAACATTGATAAAAATGTGCATTATTTCTCAGTCATTGTACATGATTTAAATTTTTCAGATTTTTAATTTAGGAATTTCTCAACTTTTTCACTCCGTTTTTGACAATTCATTACAATTGTTGAAATAAAACCATAAAATTCAATTCAAGCACTTTTAAAGTCCTTGTGTTTGTTGTGAAGTATTTTCCAGGCCTTGAATCCATAGGTCTAAAATTTAAGTACTTTTAAAGGTGTGGTATGTAAGTTTTTCACTGTTCTAAAGAATAAAAATACCATAATATGCTTGCAGATATTCAAGAAACATGTCAAGAGAACAAACTTGTGAACACACTGCCACTTTAGCCAATTATATTTTAGCACCCTGGGTTGCCTTGTTGAAAAACCATATATTATTTATTAATTCAAAAAGGCTCTCAAAGCATGCACCCGTGACAGAAATAAGACCTCCGGTGGACAGTAGCAGACTCCGAAATGAGACACAGATTCAGAATTCCACAGAGGTTATTAATTGGCAAATAATATAAATAGCACTCCAACAAAATTTGTAAAGTTTTACGATCTAAATAATACAAATTAAACCTTCTTAACATTATTAAATGTACATGTTGAATCACTGTGTTGTTCACGGCTCTAAAGTTCAATTTCAAAAAGTTTATTTTATTTTCAAGATCTGAGGTGAACTATCTGCTGCTGCTTTCAGCATATAGCAATACATATGTTAAATGACATTCAAACTCACATTGCTAGTATTTAACACTGACAATGATCACCCGAGGTACACCTCATGTGCTTTACTCAGTTCTCTGTTGTTTAGCTGCAAGAAATAGAAGTTGTTACTAATATTTTGAGGTGTACGTTAGAACAAAATTCCTTTAAATATGAAAACTATTTCTTCTATCACGTGCCGTTGCATTTATATAAAACATTTATATGATTTAATCAACCTTTAGGCTTGATAGTCAGAATTAGTCCTGTCGGTTCTCAATCTGGAAACCTGTGCTTGTGTTTGTTTTGATCCGGGGACGCAATACCTAGTTAAACCACTGGGTGTCAAGCTTACATACTGCACCTTTAAGTACTTTCAAGAAGTGTGGAAACTCTGTTTCCATCAAACCATAGTATTTTTCCATTTTAGTTTTATCATTCAATAAAAAAAAGAAAAACACAATTACCAGGCAGCAGGTCATAAACAGAAGTGCAGGAGAGCTTTTTGAGCAGGCCATGATTTGACAGGCGCAGCTCCACACAGGGGTCGTCTGTGGAGCCAAAGCCTCCCTGTTTCTGATAGCGGAACTTCGCATTGGTGAAGCCGCAGTCGGCTCCTGAAGACAGGATGTGCAGCCTCAGAATCTCAGAGAGAGTACAGCTGTCCAAATCCAACTGCTTCAGACTACAGCCTGTGCAAAAAAAAAGAAAGAAAAAAAGAAGCGTGAAGTGCACCGGATGTCAAAATTTACTGCAAATCTAAAATTATAACTGGTCTAATTTCCATTTTCAGCCATTTTAGGGGACAAAATCTCACCTTGGTGCAGTTGTGGCCAGGCAGCAGCAAGAGATGCCACAGCACTAATGGCAGACTGTGTGGGGTCAGCATCATCGTCCAGAGCTTCACTCAGATCTAAGAATGAAAACGGTCAAGCCATGAGAGTTACTAACATTACAAATGGAACATAATCTGGCACTTCCAGATTATCAAAACATTTTATTATTTCCCCAAATACTGTATAATATAATATAATATAATATCTATAAACAAGTTATCCTCTACCTTCTGCCAACTGATCTTTGGCCACTTCTTCTTGTTCCTCTGCTAAAGCCTGGAATATTGCAGAAAGAAAGAAGAAGAGCAGCTCACAGAGCGGTCCCTCAGGATCAGAGCCCACCACAGCCTCCTCCAGCACCTCTGCAAGCAGAAAAAAAACAATATTAGGTACATTATTTGCCACCAACACCAAAAACTGCAAAAGAAAAGCCCATAGCAAGCTAGAATGTTATTGGAAGACTCTGACTAGATTCATTAGCAATTGAGAATAACGTTTTATGCACTTGAGCAGTAAATGCATCTTACCAAGTGTTACACCATCAGGAAACTCATCTTTTAAATCAAACAGCTCTCCGAAAGCATGCAGGAACTCGAGCACCATCAGAGCATCTCCAAACAGCTCTGGAGGAAGACGCGTCTTCACTGGAATAGGTTTTGGCAGCTCCTGATAAGAGACAAACGACGTTAAGTTTGTCACTCATGCATGCGCTAAAACAAAGATGTCCCAGCAGGAGACTTACCTTCAGGTCATCACACTCCATGTCCTCTCGAGGTTTACTCCATAGCTTTAGTCGTTCAGCATATTTTTTCTTTTCTTCTTTTAGCTTCTCTCGTTCCTGAACCACATCAGAAAATAAAAGGAATTATACAACTAGTATATTTACTACCATATAGCTAAAAATAAATATGCCAAAGCATTAATTAACTTACTCTGCAAGACCAAAGAGCAGGCATTTATGAAAGGCTTGAGACAAGACACGCACTTAAATTAAAACAAAAGAAAGTACAACTCACCCTCTCTTTCTCGACCTTCATTCGTTCCCTCTCCTCTTTCCTTCTCAGTTTCTCCTCTTCAAGAATCCTCTTCATCTCCTCTTTCTTTTTCTCCTTGTCCTCTTTTTCTTTCTTCTTAGCCTCTATTAGATCATCTCTTTCTTTTCTGAATTTTTCTTAATAAATGTAAAGAAACAGCAGTTTTATGCAGATACACAGCACATTTTGCTCTATATTAGTCTAGATTTAAATTTTAGCATGCATGTTACACTTACCCATTGACATCATTTGCTCTTTCTGCTGCATCAATTTGAGCTTCTCTTCAATATAATTTATCTAGAATTGGAAAACAAGTCCTCATCAGAGAAACCGTATTTAAAGCAATTTTCTACCACACTGATTGCATCTTAACAAATGACATGCCATGCTTTAAATTAGGTGAATGGAAGAAAACAAGTAGCAAACATTTACACACAAACACACACATAAAAACTAGGGATTTAACAATTCACCGGACTCACCATACAATACGATTCACGATACTAAACTAACGATTTAGACACGATTTTAACAAAACTATTTAAAACAAATTTAAGATGAAGAGCCCTTTTATTTCTTAAATGCTGCACACAGTTTGTAAAATAATATATTTTCTGCCATAACCAAATTGCTATTTTAAAAACGCATAAAAAAAAAAAAAGAATACAAACTAAAGACTCACTAATATATACAAACCGTGACTGTGCTGAGATTTTATATTTCTAAAAAATATATCAGCATATCTGGTAAAAGCTAAGATCTCTACAATGCCCCCTGCTGATGAAAAAACTTTCACGGAAGACTAAGATGGCTGGTGTGGAGAGGCAAGTCATTTCCAAACTAGAGAGCTGGGTGTACAGAGGTGGTCAATAGGCCCTCTTATCCAGGGGACTGGCCACTGGCATAAAATACTGATTATAAAATTATTAATTATATAGTAGCAGGGTTTTTGTTTGTTTCATCAAGCCAAACTTAAGACTTTTTAAGACCCTTTTAAGACCATTATGAATGAAATTTTAGACTTATACCGGGGCAAACACTAAGGATTTTTGTTAAAACCCCAGTTCAGTATGTTTCTTTTTTTAATGACTAGTTTAGCAATGTCAAATGTATATTAATTATAAAGAAAATTGCAAAAAATATACATTTGTTTGCTTTTTGTTTAAATTAAGAGTATAAATCCTATTGGACCTAATGCATTCCTGTCATAAAACCTTACATTTCAAGATTATTTATAAATATTATGTCCACTCACCCTTACTTCTGCAAATAGGTTTAGAGTAAATGGAAGATCATGTAAAGGGATATATTGCTGTTATTATCATGAGGAGTTGCATAATTGCTTTTAGTTTTTTTTCCTGATTAGGGAATTTAATAATTTATTGTAAAAAATCTCTTTGCAATAAAAAAACCTCAAATATATATATATATATATAAAATACTTGGATTGTTGGTGATTGGATGGGTCTTCTGAAAATTAGGACCAGTTTAAAATGATTTAAGACCTACAACACAATATTTATGTGAAATTAAGACTGTAAGGCATAACGTTTTGTTTTAAGACATTTAAAACTTTAAGACTCCGCGAACACATTGAGTAGGATAAAGACAGGAGTTGAAAATTATTATGAAGGTGAATAAGTAATATTATTTGTATAATTAATCAGGATAAGGCCCAATCCCAATTCTCTTTAGCTTAAAGGTGTAGGGCTAAGGGGAACTGGTAGATAGCCCTTCAAACAGAGATTTTTCAGGACCACATTTGAAACCAAGAGGTAAGAAAATTTCACAGAATACACCAGCCACAACAGCAGGAAGGCTGCACCTGGATGTAAGGAGATCCACAAATAAGTATTTTTTTGTCATTAAGAATTTTACAATAAACAAGCACTTGTTTTAATATATTTACAACAGTGTTTGTGTGTTACAGTCATACTTGAATAAATAAATTAAAATAAAAACTGCTAAATTTAATTATCTTTAATCCTGAAAATCTGATCTTCAGTGGACATTCGCGTCACGTTAACCAATCACGAGCTTTCTCTTGTATGGGCATGATTATGATGCAGTGCTTGTTGTTGGGGTCCCAAAGGGAAATCCTTTTGCTGACACAGGACAACAGTTAATCAAACTGGCTTGGCTCAGTCGGAAGCACCGCTGAAAGCCTCTATCATTCAGGTATAGCTTCTGGAGGAGTTGATGAACAGAGCTGGGTGCACCTCTGAAAGGATCTAGCAGACTCAGACATGGCGCCAAGCTATACTCTCAATATAATCCACAGTAGCCATTTAGCAACTAAGCTGGAGTCACCAGGCAGACAGAAGCCCCTCCCATGACGAATCCACATCTATTGTGAAGTGAATTTGACGCACGAATGAAGCAAGTAAACTCAAAATGTTTACGCATGTATTTACGTGCAATTTATTCACACGTTCTGCATCTGGTGTAAACACAGCATGAGTAAACTTCTTTTTGCAGTATTTGCAGTTTGTTTTTTGTCTGGTGCACTTCACCACTGTCATTTTACTCTGCTGCCCCAACTCTTGCTTAACCCTGATGTGCAGGTAGAGTCTGTAAATGCAGCGTTCAAAAAATGTATTAGAATTCATTCAACAATTCTACCAATATGAAGTCACATATTTGAATCGATTTTCAACCGGCTCACGGAGAATCGTTACATCCCTAGTAAAAACACTATAACACTGACCTCCGTTGAAGAGGCATTATTAGGAGGGCGACCTCTGCCCTTCCCTGGTGGACTGAAGGTAAATACTGGGGGCTCGTCCGGGAAGAAGTGGGAAAAACTGTGTTCGGCTAACTTGTATTGTAAAGCTGATGATGGCTGCAAAAAAACAACATCAATAAAAACTTCAATACAGTAATCAGGCAAACTAGGTAACTCCAGCCATCTGAAAGTTAATAATTTTTTGTTTTTACCTTAACTCTAATGGTCCCATGCATTGGTTCACAATGCTGTTTAAGCAAAAGCTTCAATCTGTCTCGACTGAAAATGCTCTTTTTTCGACTATTAAATGCATCAGCAGAAGAAGAAAAAAAAAATCATTGAGTATAAATATATATATTGTATTTATTTTAAAATACAAGTAAACAACCAACAACTCACCTCATTTGAGCAACTTTTACTATTACTGGTTCGCAAGCCTCTGGGCTAACAGGCTGAACTCTGTATTTAAATGAAGATGGGTTGATGGCCTTTTTCTTCTTGCTTCACACGATCAAGGAATGAAAATACACAATTTAGATGGAAACTAGCCAAGGAAACGTGTATGAAGCATTAAAACAAAGCTTTGTGAACTGACCCATTGGATGGTGTTTTGGGTGAAGTGACTGTGGGCTCGTCATCGCTGTCACTGATCACTATTGAATCCCCCTCAATGCGGTGTTTGGTGTGGCCATTGACTGCGCCATTGGAATACGGAGGTATAACTTCCAATATTTTGCAGAGCTGCCTGTTGAACAAAGAAACATTATAATAGATTTGGCTCCTCAGCATGCAAATGTTCAGCTCTAAAAGGAGAAGTGTGACCTGTTTAAAAAAAAATATGTAAACAATTCAAGAAAATAAAGTGTCAATTAGAAAGTGAGCATGTGAGAAAAACAAATAATTCAATAAATAACAAATAATTCAGATTTACTTAATCTGACACACACTGAAAATAATGAATTTTGATTATTTAGGGTTTTTAGTTGCTGGTGATGATGGATATAATAATTAGTTTTTAATAGAAATGCATTTTTGAATAAAAGGGATAGTTCACCCAAACATGAAAATTTGGTTGTCATTTACTCACCCTTCATTTGTTCAAAACCTACTGAGGTTTCGTTCTTCTGTTGAACACAAAAGAAGATATTTTGAAAAATGCTGGTTGTCGGGACCCATTGACTTCCAGAGTAGTAATTTTTCCCCATTATGGAAGTTGATGCGTGTCAGCAACCATCATTGCTTCTCAAAGAAGTAAACAATGTAAAGTAAATAAGGAATTTAAGTTTGCAGTGAACTAACCCTTTAAACCAAGAAAATTCATAATACAGTACATGTATTTATCATGAAATAGAGAAAGTAGCTGACATGTTCTTGTTAGAGCTTATCCACATTGTGTATGAACGGTGCTGCACGGTCTACACTGTAGAGACAATTAAACCATTGTTTTGGTCAACAATTTCAGATCGAAACCTTTCTGAAAAGAACTTATAAGGCAAAACAGTTATTTCTTTAAGATCAGCCACTTTCAATACAGATAAACTTCAACCATACATAATAATGCAGGCAATTTGGGTGTAACCGAATTGTCTCACTAGATGAGACAGAAACGCTCAGCTAAACACACAGCCTTCCTACTTGTCTTCAAGAAGAAAAAAAAGAAAAAATCCCCCTTCACCCCCTGACTACCAGTGGGACTCCATGCTGCCTCATGTCTGGCTGTCTCTGATGATGTCTGAGGCAACTCCTTGTACCAGTTCAGCCAATCAGAAGGATTCTTTAAGCTCCACCCATTTACTTTCAGTTATCTCCAAACAGCAAGGTCAGCCCATGATGGCTGACTCTGATCCCGTCCAAGACAGAGCTTTGATACATTTCCCTTCAGCGGGCAAGTTTCCATTCTGTCGGACTTATAATTATTGTAGCTTGGCATACTCGTCTTGAGAGACCTGATAACATTCTGCATAAAGAGCTGCCAAGGACTTTCAGAGCTTCAAAACAGCTTTGTCTAGAGGAGGCAGATGAGGGTGGAGACATGTCGATGAACATCTGGGTGTTTCTCTGCTGTTAAGCCATGGTCCGTTCAAAACAGTTCTTTATGCTGGGTTATTGTTCATCACTATTCATATTCTTTCTCTTCAACACAAGTGTGGAACATCTAGATAAAGGTTTGTTTGTTTTCCCTTCAGTTAAAACAAAAACAAGTCAGCTGCTGCACAAAAGTTGTTTTGCATTTCAAAACAGAATCAAACGAATCAAATAATTATTAAATGGGCAGTTTCTACTGTAAAACCACATTAAAAAGGTCATGTAAAATATATTGTGACCTAAAATTATACAATAAAAAAACATAAAACCAGGTTAATATTATTATTCAAATAAACAAACAAAAAAAAAATCAGAGTTCACTCATTAAATGAGCAAGTTATCATTACTTCCCATGATATCAAAATCAAGCAAATATGTACTTTAGGTTAATAAGCCCTAAATAAACATTCCAAATGGCTGAATGTTCATTTAATGGTTGAATTAATGTTCTTAAATACATTTTTTTTCATTTTAAAAACTGCCTTACTGATTCCAATGACATTATAAAAAAGGTAAAGATTTAGTTGAACTGCTCTGACAAACACAACAATCTGTACAGTGATTTCATGTTGATGATCATAACACCTCACCTGGTTGAGCGACTGGTAATATCCACCATTTCTCCAGGAAAGAATCGGTCTTTAACATAGGCGTAAACATCATCACATATCTCATGCAGGCGTGAGCGGTGTGTAAGTGCTGTCAGGTGCAGGAGGGGGACGGCTAGAGCATTGGGGAAGTTCTGAAGACTAAGTCTGGCTTTTTTCTCGCTCTCCAAAGCCTCCTGGTAGGTCAGGCCGGGCTTCCCTGTCACTGCACAGCTCCACACCAGACTGTTACACAGAATAGTCCTCTCAAAGAATTCACTGTTAAAAAAAAAAAAAAAACACAGAAAAATCTCAATAATAATTTTCTATATTGAACGACAGCGATATACATTTGCATTTAAGCTGTTAATGCTTCCACTTTGAAGAGCATCACAACCATGACTGAAGGCGGATACTGCTGGAAGGAAAGAGAACTGCTGGCAGGAAAGTAAAACAAGCAGGCAAAGTAATAATGGATGATGCAGCATGATAATGGATGATGCAGCATTTCAGCCGATAAATTAAATCGGCGACCAAAAATTTGGTTAATCTCTAAAATCAACACAATTATAGATTTCTGTTGTTGCATATATCAGCTGTGTGATTGGCTGATCCTTGGTGATTGGGATCAATATCAAGTAAAAATGTCCAGAGCTTGTTATCATTATCGACAAATTTTATTGTGATTTGATGATATTGTTTATCGGCCCAGCCCTAGTGTAATAGTACTCAACTATCCTGAATATACGGTTTACATTGATATCATAATCAGTGATGAAAGGAGGTAGGTTTGTTTTGGAGCAAAGAATTGTCACAATGCTTTACAAAAGGCACCCACTAAAATGTCAGAGCAACAATAGTTTACAGAGCAAAAAAAGCTTTTTATTTAAGGATCACAGAGCAGCATCAAAATAATAATTGTCACTTTAAATCTTTAGAATTTGCCACCACGCATTATCCATTTAATAGTTTTTAATAATTTAAAATATAATAACCTTTATTATACACCATACTTGGATGAAAATACTTTGTATACAAAATCCCATTCATAAAACTTAAATGACTAATAAAACCTTGTCAAGACGTCAAGTTTTGGGAAAAACAACTGACTCGACAGGGCTCAACAATAAGGATGGCCTGGGGTCAGTGTGATAGACGCTCAGGACAGATGAGAATCGTTACTGGCCTGATCAGTGCTGCCTTGTCACTAAAGTTTAATTTGTCTGCGACTATTTGTCAATTGCATGCAAATATAAAACATTTTTTTAAATAATGTCTTAGAATCGATAAACAGTTTGTGTTTTCAGGCCTTTAAATGCCATCTTCTCTGTGATGTCGTTGATGGGCATGAGACTATAACCAGTTTTAAGGTATACCGTGGTTTGGATAAGTCAAGGTTTTAAAAGAACCAAAATTTTCTGCTATAAAAGTTCCTAGGGTATATGTAAGATTTTTATTTATGTTTTTTTTTTAGGTACGACAGTATCTGCAGCAGAAAAGATAACCAAAGATGCCTGTGCCAAAGAAATCTGTGTTTTTGAAACTAATAAAGACAGCAGAAGTCAATGATTAATTTGAATTATTTAGCCTGACTTGTTTACTGCTCCAAAGTATTTTAAATGTTGCTTAAAATAAAATTTTTAAAAAAGTAGCTTTTAAAAAAAGTGTTTTAAGTGTTTTTTTCTTGCTTTTTTTACCAAGACATTTAAAAGGAGCATATTTTAGAGCAGTTATCACAATACAGTGAAATTTTTATCCAAGGTTACCATACTGTCAGAATCTTATACTGGCCCATGCCTAGTCGTAAACGCAATAGTGCTTTTTGGTTCCTCTTATCTGATTGGATGTTGTGTGCATGTTATTATTTTCAATAACCAGTACTGTGAAGAGAAGAAAACATTGCGGCAACATCAAATTATGAGGATGAACAAAGGTGCCTGTTTCTAACATCTTGAAAGCAGGACGAAAAACATGATGAAAAAATTAAGTGAAGTTTTGCACAGTTTGCTGTCAGTTTGGCAAGTCAGCCACCTTTTGTTAAATAATTTAGAACTGCAATAAAATTCCTGCACGTTCTCTATACTGCTCTTTTTGTTTGCATAGCATTTGAATTTTGCTCATTATACATTTATTAAGATTTTTTGAATATTTAAACTCTAGATTCACAGATGTTTTTTTTGACAAGCAATTTAAAATATGTGGCTAAGAAAAATCTATTAACTTTAGTTTATTAACATTTCAAACTTGTTAAAAATAGGAATCATTAATTTTTTTTTTAATCTGTCAATAGACATAACTAAGCCAACTAAAAGTCAATACTTTAAAAATGACCAAAAAAAAAGACCTTTCTATTATTCTATAGAACAGAGGTCCCCAAAGTAGGCCCATGGTAACCTTTGGTTTAACCTAACCTTTTGTTTCTCTGTTTAATTGCGGAGCTACAAAAAAAGTCAACTAAATTTAAATGTTGTAAACGAATCAGACTTTTAAAATGTAAATACTGTCACTTGACAGAGGTAAATGCACAAGACATCGGCGAGCAAATCAAGGCAAAGACGGGAGCTGCTCGGCTAGTGTACTCAGCATTGATCTCCATTGTGTTATAAATGTGATTGTTTATGTTGTAACTATAGTAAAATCATTATAAAATGTAAAAAATGATACTGCATTGTTAATAAATATGTTTTAAAGCAACGTTTTATAGTTATTTGTAAAATATTAGCAAAAAAGTGGGAAATGAACCATGGCAAATTTAATGCAATATGGTTTGGTATATTCAACTTCAGTCCACAGCCCTCAATCAAGTTTGGTTATTTATATATATATATATATATATATATATATATATATATATATATATATATATATATATATATATATATATATATATATATGGCTCCTAGTCTACAATCTATTAAACAAAATTTGAGATCAAAGGACTTAAGTTTTGCTTTATCTAAGATTCACCATCAGGTAGTTGCATTGCCCAGTAAACAGATCTGACATTAGTGACAAATGATGCTAAATGCCAATTTGCATCTTACTTCCTATATCTGATGACCCCAAACGACCACTGACCAAACAAACAACAACTTTTTGTAAAATGATGACAGATTATACACATGCCATCAACACCAAGACTAAAGAACACCATCCAAAACAAACATGTCTGGATAGTTGCAACTAAGTACTACTTGGTCATCATAACCATGCCCATTCCAGACCCTCATGACCAGTAAGTCAATTGCCCAAAACCTAATGACAAGTGTCATCAAAACAAAAAGAAGTGCAGCAGTAAAACTCCTGCCTCTAATGGCCAGATACATTAACAATAGCAGCGACCACGTTTCAAGCTACAACATCCTGTGTGTGGATGAGATCTTCCCCATCCCCGCTAACACCCCAAAAACACTCGAGCAGGGGCTTCCCGCGGACATCCCATCCGTGATATGACACTATATAAAGACTTATAACAAATCGACAGATAGTTTTAGACATGATCTTATTCATATTAGTCTTTATATCGTGGTTAACTCGGCTACAGTAAGCTAACTAACTAGCAGCCAACTATGTTAGCAAAGGCCTCCAACTGACACCTGCCGGGTGTAACGTTATAGAGGAAAGAAAAACTAGTCTTACTAATAAATATGTTTATTTTACACAAAAAGCTGCAGGATTATTAATAAATTAGTTTAAAAAATCAAATCAGTGTACATATAAAGCGTAAGTTGCTTTATTTACGAAACATTAAAACTTTAAAGCGGGCTGTCACTTGTGTTGTTGGTTTCCAGTTAACGTTATTCTGTTGTTGACTGGTATCGAAGAGGAAGTTGAGAACAACATTTAGGAAATAAAAAATAACAATTCCTTACTCGTATGTCCTGAAGATTTCGTGTGTATATTTGCAAAGGAAGACTTCTTCATCGGGTCTGAGATCCGCGGGTGGTTTCTGCCTCACGAACGGCTTTTTGTGGAGCAGCGGCATCTTTTCTTTCTCTTTCTCGGAGACTTTGAATAAACAACAAACACATTAATACAACCGTAAAGTAATAACATACCACATTAATAAGAGTCCATTAAAAGTCAATATGTGAGAGTCGTCGAAAGCGACCGAAGTAAAATCGTTATGATTTCAAATGTATAAAAAATAACGATATTCTTCAGTCTTTGTTAATGACACGCGCTTCCCGGGTGACGTTCAAAATCCAGCCCACATGTTTCGCTTTCCATTCAAACCGAATAATAAGTACTTATTTCATCCTATATAACTAATAAATCCCATATAATAGACGAGTAAATATTCCAATTACCAAATCTATGATGTAAAGAGATAATCGGCTCCGGAAGGGAAAGAAAACCACAAGAGTATCAGCAGCGCACGTCCCACTTCTCCGAGCGGGGATCAGCGTGTTGACGACAAGTTTTGATCCGCTCTAGTTCACTTACCCACCGGGCAGCGCCGTGGGTGGAGTTTGCACAATTCTGTCATTCCATTGGTCAGTTTGAGCGCCCATCACGCCCCCACAGCCAATAGTGGGAGGGAAAGTAGAAATAGGGTTTTTTTCCGCCACAGAAGCTTCATGTAATTTGAATGACAATTTTTGTCTATCATGTTTGAATAGGCGTTGATGCGACATGATGACAGATATTCAGTGGTTGGAAATAAAGATAAATAAGTGCGGCGCCATCTTTGTTATAAATGTCCCCACCACAAAGCCAGGCTTCTCGGATATACGGGATATTTGCAAAACCATTAAAGTAAACAACCTTTACTTCGTCATACCTCAATACAATTGGCAGATAAGTGGCTTTTCATTCATGTTTGAAACTTTTGTGTACGTATCAACTTAACAAATATATACAAATGTATCTTGGCAGAACAAAATAAAATTACTTTTGCTTGTTTTTTTTTTACTTTTAAAAATTCTGTACCTAAATTAACATTTATACTTCCAAGAATGTACACAATGCTGATTTATATGACCCTGAGCTAAAATAAATTGCAATTAGGCAATCCATGAAAACGTAACTGTAACCTTATTTTGAGGATCTAAAAATATCTGTAATTTGTGTGTGTGTGTGTATATATATATATATATATATATATATATATATATATATATATATATATATATATATATATATATATATATGACAAATAAGTTTTATTGAAGAGACACAGATTCAGAAAGTCCACATAAAACGTAAAACAAAAAAACACCCACTTAAAAAGCAAACTTGTTACAAAGACCTGTTTGAAATAACAGAATGATGACAAAGCATATAAAAACATTACAGAAATGATGCATTAATATGAGAGCTTTTTTCAAGGTAACAGACTAAAAGATTCCAAATTTTGTCAAATTGTTCAAGTTTTCTTTTCAAATAGTATCTAATTCGCTCCTAATTTAACATAGAGGCAATTTCTCCAAGCCACAGTTTACATGTTTGCGATATCTTTAATTTCCAAAACAGTAGCTTCTTGGCAGTAGTTAAGCAGTATATGAGAATTTTTTGTTTTGTGTGGATGTGTGTGTGCGTATATATATATATATATATACTACCCGACAAAAGTCTTGTTGCATATCCAAGTTTTAGGAAAAACAAATAATAACTTGACTTCTAGTTGATCATTTGGTATCAGAAGTGGCTTATATGAAAGGTAAAGGCCTCTAGATTACACTTATTTTACCAAAATGCAATATGATCATACATCTCTGGAATGGAAAGAAAGCGTTCTTGCAGGACTCCCAGAGTTCATCAAGATTCTTTGGATTCATCTTCAATGCTTCCTCCATCTTACCCCAGACATGCTCAATAATGTTTATTTCTGGTGACTGGGCTGGCCAATCCTTGAGCACTTTGACCTTTTTTGCTTTCAGGAACCTTGTTGTGGCGGCTGAAGTATAAGGGCCGCTACCCTGCTGGAGAATTTGCCCTCTCCTGTGATTTGTAATGTAATGAGCAGCACAAATGTCTTGATACCTCAAGCTGTTGCTGTTACCATCCACTCTGCAGATCTCTCGCACACCCCCATACTGAATGTAATCCCAAACCGTGATTTTCCTTCACCAAACTTGACTGATTTCTGTGAGAATCTTGGGTCCATGCAGGTTCCAATAAGTCGTCTGCAATATTTGTGATGATTTGGATGTGGTTCAACAGATGATTCATCAGAAAAATCGACCTTCTGCCACTTTTCCAAAAGATCAACTAGAAGTCAAGTTATTATTTGACCGAAAATAATAAACACTGACTGAATAAAACATCATCATCAGTCATGGCTGACTTTGCCTTTAATCTGTAGCAAAATTAATCTCATGGATGGTTTTAATAGTCTCCACTGCATTACCTCTGCCAGTGAATGAAGAAAAAACAGATGCAGCAATCCCTCCCCTACTTCCTGTTTCATCAGAAAGAATAGGACACAAAAATACATTAAAAGACAATACAAAACCAAGCAAGAGGACACTTACAGGAAAACATTTATTATCACTCAATGAAGGCTGCTTTGAAATGAAGCAGTGACATAAAGATATTCTATGACATGCACAGCAAATACAACAGATGATTTTAAAGTATAAACGTATTAAAAATAAAAGCAAATAGTAAAAGTTGACAAACGAAAATGGTTTAGTTTTTAATTGTTTTAAAATTGCCACTGCTTGCTTGGATTGGGACTTGTGGAGCTGCGCATCGATGGATTTGCTCTTCAGTGTTTGAACTTTCAGCAGTGAAAATTAAACCACACTTAATTGAACTTCAACTCTGAAATCTGGACTTTACTAGAACTATGTTAAGCTGCTTTGACACAATCTACATTGTGAAAGTGCTATACATAATCATGAACTGAATTTGTCCTGTTAAAAGCCTCATGGAGGCCAATCATATTCATTGGTTTCACTGTATCCAAAAAGTGTGTCGCTTTCTCCTCTGAGTGTCAAAGTACTCTATATAGATGGATTTGCTTGAGAGAATCTGGATCCGTGTCATTTTTTAGATAAACACTGTAATCGACAGGTATCTCCTCAATCCACTGGCTGAGCGACAATGTTTCTAGGAACTGAAAAAAATAATAAAACATCGAGTTTCATGAAATCTTATGAAGGGCTTATGTATTTAATTACAAGTAGAAGACCAAGGGTGCGTCTCAATCAGCTCATGAGGTAGTGAAACAGTATGTTGTGTACAAAAATTCCAACGCTGCTAAAGATAGTAAAGGCCTTGGTTCACTACATATTAGTATACTGATGGTGACATGAGAATATCCACAATGTAAAACGTAAAAAAGATTAATTAAAGTACATTATAGATACAGATTTAGTTTCATGTACAAGCAACATTTCAACCATTATTCAATTATAAATATTTGTTAGACTGTTCTGTAGCCAACAATGTTCATTTATGAGACTTAATGTTCATTTATGATCTACTTAGCCTTATAGCCTAATGACTACAGCCCATTGACATGCTCTGACAATGCATTGATGAAATTAACAGTTGCATGTGCCAACATTTTCTTTAGTTAAATGAAGAGAAAACTGAAGTCATTGGCCAGACGGAAGCCTCTTTCCGCCTGGAATTTGCCAAAAGGCACCTGAAGGACTCTCAGACCATAAGAAACAAAATTCTCTGATCTGATGAGACTAAAATTGAAGTCTTTGGAGTGAATGCAAGGCGTTACGTTTGGAGAAAACCAGGCACCGCTCATCACCAGGATAATACAATCCCTACAGTGGAGCATGGTAATGGAAGCATCATGCTGTGGGGATGTTTTTCAGCAGCAGAAACTGAAAGACTATAGAGGGAAAGATGAATGCAGCAATGTACAGAGACATCCTGAATGAAAACCTGCTTCAAAGTGCTCTTGACCTCAGACTGGGGCGACGGTTTATTTTCCAGCAGGACAATGACCCAAAGCACACCGCCATAATATCAATGGAGTGGCTTCACAACAACTCGGTGAATGTCCTTGAGTGGCCCAGTCAGAGCCCAGACCTAAATCCTATTGAACAACTCTGGAGAGATCTGAAAATGATCTGATAATAGAGCTTGAGAGGTACTGCGAAGAGGAATGGGCAAAAATTCCCAAAGACCGGTGTGCCAAGCTTGTGGCATCATATTCAAAAAGACTTGAGGCTGTAATTGCTGCCAAAGGTGCATCAACAAAGTATTAAGCAAAGGCTGTGAATACTTCTGTAAATGTGATTTTTCAGGTTTTTTATTTTTAATAAATTTTCAACAATTTCAAAAACTCTTTTTTCACATTGTCATTATGGGGTACTGTGCGTAGAATGTTGAGGAATAAGGAATAAGGCTGTAACAAAAAAACAAATGTGGAAAAAGTGAAGCGCTATGAATACTTTCCAGATGCACTGTATACCCCATTGAGACAGCCCTTAAAATGTCTGAATCCCTGATCAGTGCTCTGAGCACTAAACAAGAGAGCTGAGTGAGACGAACCCTTATTCTGTAATATCAGATATAAAGTTACTCACAGCAGCATCCTGAAGTAAACCAAGTGCCTCCTGAATGCTGGGTACAGTCACCAACAGAGCACCTTTCTTTCTGAAATTTTGACTAATATACAGCCAAGCCCTGGAAAAAGAAAACATTTTAGTGCTAGTCTTTATAAGAGACAGTCATTTAATGATTGATTTCATTATTGGTTTATTAAAGAGAACACATGAGAGCAGGCATGAAACTAAAGGTGTAATAAATTTCTTCTCTGTGATATTAATTAATTTATTCATTCATTTTCCTTCGACTTAGTCCCTTTTTTTTATCAGGGGTCGCGACAGCGGAATGAACCACCAACTTATCCAGTATATGTTTTACACAGCGGATAACCTTCTAGCCACAACCCAGTACAAGGAAACACCCATACACTCTCACACACATACACTAAGGCCAGTTTAGTTTATTCAATTCACCTATAGCGCATGTCTTTGGACTATGGAAACTGGGGCACCCTGAGGAAACCCAGGCCAACATATGCTGGAAAATTTGGCGGTTCATTCCGCTGTGGCGGCCCCAGTTTAATAAAGGGACTAAGCTGAAAAGAAATTGAATGAATTAATGAATTATGAGCGCACATTCACTTTAAAAATATATATATGTGCAAAAATAAATCTTACATACGAAAATCTGCAATATGCCAAAGTTAATTTTGTCATGGTGACAAACAAGACTTTGAACTTACTGCATTTGATCCCTTGGTTCCATGAAGTATTCAAACACGTTATTCATGATCAGAACATCTGCTTTTTGCACCAAGGCAATCTGAGAGCGAATGTCTGCATGAATCACCTACGGGCACATTGAACATCTCTATAAACATACTGTCATGATGAAACAATGACCAGCAAGGAAAAAAGAAACAACAACAGTATGACAGATTACCTGAATTCTGTCACTGAAGCCATATTTCTCTACAGCCATTGACTGAAGCTTGACAAACTCAGAACTCATTTCAACTCCGACTAGTTGAGACGCAGCACTGTATAGGTATCCCTAAAAAGAGAGAAATCATCTGTCTAGGGCAATATTGAAGAGACCACAAGAAATTACTCTCTGGATTTATATAGTTGCATTTTAAGATCCATTTTACATTTATTCTGTTTTTTTATATATGATATTTTGTCTAAATCTAAGATAAAAAGCTCTTAGTTAATGCATTTTTATTTCTGCAGTAAATATGAAAAGTTTCCTTCGGGTGCTCCAGTTTCTCTCACAAGTCCAAAGACATGTGCTATACATGAATTGGGTAAACAAAATTGGCCAAAGTGTATAAGAGTTATGTTTTTCAGTACTGGGTTGCAGCTGGAAGGGCATCCGCTATGTAAAACAAATTCTGGATAAATTGGCGGTTCATTCCGCTGTGGTGACCCCTGATGAATAAGGGAACTAAGCCAGGGGTGTCCAAACTCAAGTCCTGGAGGGGCTCCAATTTGCCTCCACACACCTGCAGGGATGTTTTAAACTGTTAAAATGTTCACAAAAGTCACCTTTTAGAACTTTTACAGGTTAAGAATTGTTGGAAGATCAAGGTCCCATAATGCAATGCAAAACCATTAAATAATAATAATAAACAAAAAAAATGAATGGCGACGCAGTGGGTAGCAAGTTCGCCTCACAGCAAGAAGGTCGCTAGTTCGATCCTCTGCTCAGTTGGCGTTTCTGTGTGGAGTTTGCATGTTCTCCCTGCATTCGCGTGGATTTCCTCCGGGTGCTCCGGTTTCTCCCACAGTCCAAAGATGGTACAGGTGAATTGGGTAGGCTAAGTTGTCCATAGTGTATGTGTGGATGTTTCCCAGAGATTGGTTGCGGCTGGAAGGGCATCCGCTGTGTAAAAACTTGCTGGATAAGCTGGCGGTTCATTCCGCTGTGGCGACCCCAGATTAATAAAGGGACTAAGCTGACAAGAAAATGAATGAATGAAAAAAATGAATCACAAAACACAAGAAAACGGCTAATTTACAGATATTTTTACAGTGTAGCCTTCTATGGCATATGTAAATATAAATAGTGCAGCTAGTATTTCAATTATAAACATTTGCATAGAAATCTTACCTAAACATTAGCTCATGGCAGATACATTGTTCATTAACTTATTGATGATTATGGCTCATATGATAATTTAAAGTGTTTAATTGAGTCAAATTTAAGTTAAATATGATTACCTATCAGTTTACGTACAGCTGCAGATGTACTCTAGTCAAATTTGTTTTTATAGATCACAAACTTTGCATGGTAAGTGGCATACGCACATGTCCGCCCCCATTTTGTGCATATGCCACGTTAATAACTGAGAGCCCTGTGCTGGTAAGGCTGTAGATTTAAACCTGGTAGTTCAAAGTTCTTAACCCCTGATTGCTCTGTTCGCTATAAACATTAGTTAATATACAAGTGATAATATGGTTTAGGTAAACACACAATCATCAGCAGTTTACCCCGAACAGCACAGCTCCTAGTCTTGATCCCACATCCAACACCAGTTTTCCAGTGAGTTCTGGAAGAACGTTGTGGAATAAGAACTGGAGCTCTGGGATTGAGAATGAATGTGAGATGAACTCTGCAAAAACATTAGAAAATCAAATATATTATTGTGTTCCTTTATTACTGTATGAAATACAGGGCTGAGTGATATGACAAAAGCCTCATTATTATTACAATATAAGTCATCTCAAATCCTGATAACACAATATTGTACCATTTCTGTAAATTCAATCAAATAATGGTCATATACAACGGGCAAAATATGTATTGAACATGTCACCATTTTTCTCAGAAAACATATTTCTAAAAGGTGCTGTTGAATTGAAATTTTCATCAGATGTTGGTGTCATGACTGTCAGTGACCTCCTGAGGGCGCTGTAGTTCAACAGACTCTGAGAGTGAACTACAGCGCCCAAGAATTACAAGTCCATACATACCACGCGCATTACACCCCGTTCACTTACACTGGCTGTTTCTTAATATGCGTTCTTCAGCGGTCTTGCGTCCTCGTGTTCTCATGCAACGTCATCATCAGCTGCCTAAGTTCAGTTCCAATACTCAAGACCGCAAGTACGGAGGACGCGTGAAACTTCCCGGATGTGATCTTGATATCGAGGACGCAACAATGCAGACTTGAGCACCGAACTCGCTCTATATTAAAATTAGTTTTATTTATATTGTGCAGAGTATATTGATAACGTTTTTATGCAAAATATATATTTTGAAGAGGGGGGGAACAATAAATCGTTGTATGAATGCTGTAATGTTTAAATAATTTCCATTTAAAACGCGTGAAGGTCACATGACCATCAGGAAGAACGCAGCATCCCCTTTCTTAAAGGACGCGTTCTCTGTCCTCGCGGTCTCCTGAGTTCGTTCTTCCGAGGACACCTGGCAAGACCGCTCTCCACAAGAACGCAATTCCGTTCTCTGCGTTCTTGGAATTGAGAAACAGCCACTGATTGGCCATCACAGCTGTTCCTGTTTCCTGTTGATTTCCTGGACTATTTATACTACCATTTTCCCACTGTTCGTCACTGCGTCGTTTGTCTTTCTTGTCTCCGTGATCTAGTAAGTCTTGAATATCGAGTTTGTGTTTCCTGAGCCCTGTTCTTGATCCTGATTTATGTTGTATTTTCTTGTATTGCTGTTTATTTGTTACTTTGTTATTTTTTGAACACCGGACACCTTGTTTTTCTGTTTGCTGCACTATTGTAAATAAATCTGCACTTGGATCTGCACCTTTTGTTTCCGTTTCGATCCCGTAAAGAAATCCATATATTCAAATAAAACAAATCTAATTAGTTTACAAATGATCTTATGTGCAATAAAATGAAATGACGCAGGGAAAAAGTATTAAAAACATTAAGATAGTGAGGTGTAGAAAGGCAGTAAAAACCCAGACAGCAGCTGAAATCTCATTAGTTCTTCAGAAACCCTCTGCCCTTCCTCAGTGTAAATGAATGAGTTTCTCCAGTCCAACATCTACATTAGCAGGATGATGAAGATGAAACTATGCAGGGTGGAAATTTCAGCAAGACATGAATCAATATAAAACACCAGACGAGACTCACGAAACCATCAAGACTTTTACACTCTGTTGAAGTCTGTGAAAAACTCACACCTGAGCAACTGATGTGACTTCATTCTCTATATGAGAGGCGTCTTTAAGCTGCCATCACTAAAAAAGCCTTTTATATAAAGTATTAAATACATTTCAGTTTTTCAGTACTTTCTCCTTGTGTCATTTCATTGTTATTACCCTGCTAAAAAATCCAGCTTAAACCAGCCTAGGCTGGTTTAAGCTGGATTTTTCAGCAAGGTACACATAACTCATTTTTCAGATTGTTTTGATTTACTTTCATGTTTGTGTTGTTTGGGTTTTTACCAAAATCTGGTTCAATTTCATGTCAATAGCTCCTTTAAAAATATTATTCCAAGGAAAAAACATGACCAGATGTAAAAGACAACTCATTTTTTTTACATTTCAAGTGTATATGTATTAAACTGACTCATTCATATGTGATCAGATTTCAGGGCAAACTTTGACTAAGAATGTACAAATATAAAAAAAAAAATTATAAAAAAATCATAAATTACACACACACACCCACACACACGTTTGTTTTTGTGAAAAGTGGGGACATTACATAGGTTTCCATTCATTTTATACTGTCCAAACCGTATATAATATATCCCTCACCCAACCCCACTCCTAAACCCAACCATCACAAGAGACTGTGTGCAGCTTTACTCTCTGATTAAACTCATTCTCTAGGATTTATAAGCATTTTAAGCAAAGAGGACATCACCAATGTCCTCATATTTCACCTCCTTTTTGTAATACCTGTGTCATACCCATGTCATTATACAGATTTTTGTCCTGATATGTCACAAAAAAACATACACACACACACACACACACACACACACACACACACACACACACAAATATATATACAAAATGCAGCAAGACGTACCTCTGGCTACATAGTTAGCAATCTCCGGAAATTTATAGGGGATAACGTAAACACAATTAGCCTGTGTTGCATATTGCACTCATATAAATTTTGATAAAGTATAACAATAAACTGTATCCTTTGTGAAATAAACCATAGAGCATAATATGAAATGACAGACTTTTTATTTTGTCCATATGATCACTATAGTCACAGCACTACCTGCATAGCATATAGTATTCATGCAAACACTCACCCAACGGTGCGGTTCTGTGTGATCCACAGTTGAGGCAGTAGGTGCGACTCATTTTTCCCTCCTCACACAACGAATCCACAGTTTCATCATCATATAGGAATGCATCCACATGCACAGTGGGGTGAGCTTTCTGTTGTGTCTAAAATGTAAAGCACGCTATAGAATCTAACAATGTCGTTGTGCATAGGCATGTCACAATAATCATTATATCGCAAAACACATGGACGTGACCTCAATCATTTTTGATGATGCACTATGTATCCCCCATACATCAAGACCAATTCTAGCAACATTGTAGCTGACTGTGCAACATTTCTATCTCTATTGGAGGTGTCAATGTCAGTATGGTTAAAAACAATAGTATTTATTACAAATTACTATAGTATATTTTCATAAGGGTGTCTGGTAGACCATGGTAGCAGATATTGCAGCCTCTGTTATTTTTTACCTTACACTTTTTTGTTAACATTTATTATTATATATTTAGGATATGTGGATAGAATACAGTTGAAACCAGAAGTTTACATACACTGTATAAAAAGGCACATAACCTTTAAAAAAAGTCAGATGTTGATGTGACTAAACTTTTTCTATTTTAAGTACGTTAGGATTATCAAATGTGTTTCTGTTATTTTTGAGAAATAGTTAAACCTTTTCTTGAAAGTCGAGTTTACATACAATAAGATTATTATGCCTCTGAAAAAGCTCAGATGATGGTGTCAAGGTTTTGGAAGTTTCTGATTGGCTAATTGATAACATTTGAGTTAATTGGAGGCACAACTGTAGAATAGTATTTAAGGAAAACCTCAAACACACTGCTTCCTCGTGTGACAACATGGAAAAAAATCAACAAGCCAAAATCAGCAAAAGAGCTAGATTACAATTTGCTAAATTACACTGGGAAAAAGAATAATTTCAGGACACATGTCCTGTGATCTGATGGAACTAAGATGGAACTGTTTGGCCATAATGATCAGTGTTACATTTGGAAGACAAAGGGGTAAGCTTACAAGCCTAGGAACACCATCCCAACTGTGAAGTATGGGGGTGGCAGCATCATGTTGTGGGGCTGTTTTGCTGCAGGAGGGACTGGTCCAATTCACAGCATAGATGGCATCAAGAAGAAAGAACTCTTCTTCTTCTTCTTGGGCCTTAGTCCCGCATGGTTGCAGGGTCGGCTCTTTGGAACAAATTCTCCATTAAAACTTGTCCATATGATAACAACTTTTTTTACACATTCCAGCCGGCCTGTCGTCTGGGCCTGTCACCCTCATACACTCATAGACTACAGACAATTTAGCCTACCCAATTCACCTGTAGCATGTCGTTTAGAATGTGGGGGAAAACGGAGCACCCGGAGGAAACCCACACGAACCCAGGGAGAACATGCAAACTCCTCACAGAAATGCCAACTGAGCCGAGGTTCAAACCAGCGACCCAGCAACCTTCTCATCATGAAGAAATAACATTATGTAGAAATACTGAAGCAAAATCTCAAGACATCAGCCAGGAAATTAAAACTTGGCCACAAATGGGTCTTGCAAACAGACCATGACCCTAAGCATACTGCCAAATTAGTTAAAATGTGCTTTAAAGACAAATGAGTGAATATTTTGGAGTGGCCATCACAAAGCCCTGATCTCAATCCTATAGAAAATTTGTGGGCAGAGTTGAAAAAGCTTGTGCGAGCAAGACAACAAATCTGACTCAGTTACACCAATTCTGTCAGGAGGAATGGGCTAAAATTCCTTCAAACTATTGTGAGAAGCTTGTGGAAGGATACCCAAATCATTTGACCAAAGTTATACAGTTTAAAAGCAAAGCAAAAAAATACCAAGGAAATGTATGTAAACTTTTGACTGTCATGAAATTAATAAAAATTCTCCAAATAAATAAAAAATAAATAAAATTCTCTCATTATTCTGGCATTTAGCAAATGTAAATTAATTAGGTAATCCTAACGGACCTAAAATAGTAAACGTTTAGTATGATTTACCATCAGACATTTAAAAAAATTGCTATGTTCCTTTTTTTAGAGTGTATGTAAACTTCTGGTTTCAACTGAATATAATTATTAAATTGTTAAAATGTCTATAATTAAACTAAATATTCTTAAGAATAAAATATGATGTGTTCTTTGGAAGAGTGTACTTGCCTTGTGATTTTATTATATTGTTAATCTGTCATCATTTAATGAATGGCATAAAATGGTCTTAAAATGACAATAATACAGTTTATCACAATATATATTTTGGTGCAATATATCATTCGACAAAAAATAGATATCGTGACAGGCCTATGCATGCCAGAGTAAATGAATAAAAACCTAATGCACAAACCTTCTGCATAGCCAGAGTCTCAGAAGGAGCCATAGCTTCCATTGGAAGGCAAGCTCTTAGATCCTCTGCAATACTGTGAAGAATAACACTTTGGTTATCCACCAGGATATCATCCAGGTCATCTGAAAACGTAGATGAAAAGTGATTAGGGGATTAGGCGAGGCAAGTTGATTTACAAAGCACATTTCATACATGATGGTAGGCCTGTCATTATAATCAATATATCGACATTTATATTTTCTATAAATACTATTGTTTTTTTTATGTGGGTGTTTGATGACAGAAAATAGATCTGTTACTTTTTACATTGGGCATTTTTGTTAACATTTATTATTATATAATTGTTTAGGATATCTGTTTTCCCGTTCTGATTTCCATATCCTGATTATTAAATTGTTCAAATGACTATAATTAAATGAAAATTTCTTAAGAATAATCTATTACGTGTTCATTGGGAGAGCGTACTAGCACTATGATCTTATTATAGTGTCAAAATGGTTTTAAAATGACAGTAATATCATTTATTGCAATAAGTTTTGTTGCTATATAATGTGACAGGCCACCACAATGGTTATTCAAAGTGCTTTACATAAACAAAAATACACATACACAAACATAAGAACTAAAATTAAAGAATAAAAATGATTAAAAACAGATTAAAATGTGTTTAAACAGGTTTTAAAAGAATTAAAAAATAGAAAGACATAACAGTGCGATTAGGGTAAAATAATCAGCTCAAATAAACACTACAACTCTTCATTTTGTTTACTCATGTTAATAATAGTACATTTTTTCACACTTTATTTCAAGGTACAATTCTTGCTATTAAATAATCCAAACAGTGAATGTTTTGGAGTGGCCATCACAAAGCCCTGAGCTCAATCTTATAGAAAATTTGTGGGCAGAGTTTAAAAAGCTTGTGCAAGCAAGACAGTCTACAAATCTGACTCACTTACACCAATTCTGTCAGGAGGAATGGGCCAAAATTCCTTCAAACTATTGTAAGAAGCTTGTGGAAGGATACCCAAAACATTTGACTAAGTTATACAGTTTAAAAGCAAAGCTAAAAAAAAACAAGGAAATGTATAAAAACTTTAGACTGTTTTTGAAAACAAAGAATAAAAATTATTAAAAACTTATTGAAATGTGTTTAAACAGGTTTTAAAAGAATTTAAAAAAATAGAAAGACATAATAGTGTGATTGGGATAAAATACTCAGCTCAAATTAACACTACAGCTCTTTATTTTGTTTACTCATGTTATAATGATACATTTTTGTCACACTTTATTTTAAGGTACAATTCTTGCTATTCATTCATTTTCCTTAGGCTTAGTCTCTATTTCAGAGGTCGCCACATTGGAATGAACCACCAACTATTCCAGCAAATGTTTTACACAGCGGATGCCCTACCAGCTGCACCTCAATGGGAAAAAATCTTGGTATCCATAAAAAATTAAGTATGACGTTTAATTTGCTTTGGAAGTAGTCAGATTTAGGTATCACACAGGATTAGGGAAGAAGAATAGGATCATGCAGAATATATACTAATAAACAGCTAATATCTTGATAATAAACAGGTATTATTGTCAGTAATAGTGAGAATTTGGTACTTAAACTAAAATGTTAACTAATTGTTTATTACAAGTTAACTGAAATATTATGTTTATCTATGCACGTGCTTTCTGTTAATAAAAATGCATTATTTGCATACAATTTTTCTGGAATAATATATTGCATACATTTTATGAATATATGAATTAACGAGGATTTCTCCAGGATTAAAAATAACCATTTAAGTAATCCTAACGGACCTAACATAGTAAACGATTTACCATTAGAGATTTTTAAAAAATCATCTTATTTTTTAGAGTGTATGTAAACTCCTGGTTTCAACTGTAAGATCACATTGCAATATCGATGATGAAACGATATGTTGTGCAGCCCTAGTACAGACAAAAATGTAGCAGATGTACTTTAATACTGTAACAAATGTTTTGGTCATTGTGAAAGTTACTCAATGCATCTTCCGAAGTTAATCAGTGGAACCTTGTCGTAAATATTACCCACCAAGATCCGAGGAAACACAGAACAGACGACTTAACAACAACAAAACCTCCAAATTATGTATTTACCCGAGGTTTTTATCCATTCTAACAGCTTTGGAAGATGCTGTCTCTCCGTCTTGGACAACACCTGGAGGATCTCGTTCTTAGCATCGTTAAAATTCATTGACTCAAGCTACAGAAACTTCATTTACGCCAAACACAATCAAAACCAATGTGAGCAACACATGGATCTGCTGATTTACAGTAACGTTAGAGAGAAGAGCGTGTTTTTAAGGTAGAACTGTACATTGCGTCGACTTCAAACTTATGACAGGTGCTAAAAACAAAAGAAATATATTAGTATATATTATATTATGAAACTATTTTGTTCATTATAATTTAATTCATAAAGTTAAAAATGCAGTTATTTTGTTTAATAATTATATCTATTTTATTTACAGATGTACCACCTTAATATTTCGACTCATGTCTAATTTAAACACAAATATCTGTAAATACACAAGGAATAACATCTAATTTATTTGAACAAAAATATGTTAATTTCGCACACAGTTTAAATGAGCAGTATATTAAGACTAATCTTAATGATAAATGTTAATTTCTAACAAAAATACCGACTCTTATTTTTACGGAAGTAGGAAAGATGCGTCACGGGAAGTTGGGGGTTAGATGACGTTTGTGTAGTTGGTCTACCACTCGGCGAAAAAACAGCTGCTGCGAGTTTAGGTAAGTAATATTTGATCAAAAAAGACGTTTTATCGTAATAATTTGAGCATTTAACGTTGTAAATTATCGTTGATCTCGATTAAACATGAATCCAATCCTGTCTTTGATTAAATCGAGCACGGTAATGCGGTTTACTACGGCTGTCTGGCCTGATTTCAGCATAGAGCTTTAACTGTTTACTCTTGTTAATTATACGTGTCTATACACTATTCAACGAGTATAGTTTTATAATAGTCTAAGTTATTAATAAACCTGGTGGAATTAGTGTTTTAGTTACGACTCATGTTTTTAAATGATCCGGTTTCATCCAGGTTGGATAGTAACGTTACATGGCTTGTGGTAGTAACGGAGAAACTCCTCCGAAATATTATTATTTAAAGTCTCTTAACATGTTTTTGTTCATGAAGGTTGAAGCCTTGAAGGTTGGAGTGGAGATAACGGTGACAGTTGGATTGTTTTGGGGGGAAACCCCACCACATTGGAAAGTCACATTCATAATAAGAAGTAAGCAATAGATGCTTTCACGTTTTAATGTCATCACTCAAGTCTTCTCAATGCTCTTGTGATTCAAAGCTGGTCATTAATACCACAGTTTTTTTTTTTTTTTTACCTCCAATGAGATTGAGGTAAAGTTGGTTTTATATTCACACATTCAGAATTTTACCTTGTTAATATCATTTCTGAAAAGTATTGTTTGCTAGATGTTAAATAGGGAAATCAAATTAGCAGCTAATCACTATCAAAGTCACTATCAAGTATCAAAGTATAAAAATAATACATTTTTGGATAGTTAATCATCTTTATTTTTTGATGTATGTCATAAAACGTTTCGCATTCTCATTTAAAAAGATAATTAATACCAACCTATTGAATAATATTATTCGAGAGAATAGACATTACAAAATGTAAAATAAATTTTAAAAGTATGGTAAAACAGAAATCTCTTAATAATAAATATTTGAAATAAGAAGTAAATGCATGTGCATATACATTTATAAATGCAGTTCTGTTATAAGTATAAAAAATGAACAATGTGACTTACAAAATAAAACATTTTCAAATTATGTTTTAGAATTTTTTTTTTAAAGGATAATTCATCATATTTTGGTCATCTGAACAATTGATAACCTGTACAGATTAGGGTTGCACAATATATTGTTATTGCAATGTGTGTATCTGCAATGCTCAGGATATTCAATGCTATATTAGGAATAATAAAACTTGACCAAATCTTATCGTGTGAAATACATTTTAATGTATTTTAAAGCCCTTTGACTGTAAGATTTCAAGCAAAATTAAACCAAGAAGTTTTGAAGCTTGTCACTTCAACAAAGATTAAAAGTTTATTTATACAATGAACACTATACGGTGTTAATTTACATTTGATTTTTTTCATTTCTGCACCTCAATGCTGTTTGACTTCACTGAAAACTATGAAGTGCTGTTTTTTTAATATATTTTTTATCCTTGTTCTATTATTTTCATCTGTGCTTTAGATATTTGTTCATATTTTTGTATAGTTTTATATATTTTTTGCAGATGCACTTCTTAAAATTATAAATACTTTCCAAATGGAGTTTACTCAAGTCATCTTGTGAAATTATATTCAAGTCTCAATTTATATTGCAGAAAAACAAATTATCACAATGTCAGTTTTTTTTTCCAATATCGTGCAGCCCTAGTACAGATACTTTCTCTTTAATCTTTACTACCTGATGTAACAAATAGTCCCTGTTGCAGGTTGGCAGCTGATTAACCGCAAAAATGGTTTTAGCTGATCTGGGGAGGAAAATAACCTCAGCTTTGAGGTCTCTCAGCAATGCCACCATCATCAATGAGGAGGTACAGATGCAATCTTAAAGTCACACTTGATAAGCATTGCCACCATCATAAAATGTTAATTTAATTGCGATCTCCTTAGGTATTAAATGCTATGCTCAAAGAAGTCTGTGCTGCCCTGCTGGAGGCTGATGTGAATATCAAGTTGGTAAAGCAGCTTAGGGAAAATGTCAAGTAAGTAACGAAAGTTAAACAAAACGTCATTGCATGGTATTATTGAATGTCTCTAAAACCACTCTATTATCTCCAGGGCAGCCATTGATTTGGAGGAGATGGCCTCCGGTCTGAACAAGAGACGAATGATCCAACATGCCGTTTTCAAGGAACTTGTCAAGGTAAATGATGCTGTATTATTATTGTCTGTTAAATCTTATTACATCGTTCCTTAGAACTGGGACAAACCAAGCTGATGCCAAACAACTAGCACTGACGAACACTAGATTCAAGCCCTGTTCACACAAACATGGGTATTTTCTAAACGGGACTGTTTTCTGTGGGGTTTTGCTATTTGTTTACATAAATATGGAGTGTCGGTTGACTGAAACTTAGTGAAAACTCTGGCCAGGGTGAGGATTTTCCAAAACTTAAGTTACAGTGTAGTCATGTGGACACTACAGCCAGAGTTTTTGCCTCATGGTTTTCTCCTTTCTGATTGGACAAAAGGGCTGGTTTACACCAAATGTGGAAGACGCAAATTGCGCACATTTGTGGCAAATGTATTGCATTATTCGGCTGCGAGAAGATAATGCGCCTCTATTCTCATGTTTTAATTTGTATGCAGTTCACTCGCGATGATACTTCTTATTCATTGTTTGGTGTGAGCCCAGCATAAGTGTCATTATGGTCAACTTTTGGCTCAGCGTGCCCTTTAAAACGTGGAAAACTTTGTTTATAATGCCTCGTTTCCACTGACTGGTACAGTACGGTACAGATCGGGTCTGTACGGGTCACCTTTATCAGGCTTGCGTTTCCACCACAAAGGGTACCCTTTTGGTGGGCGTGATGTACGACATAAAGTTTAAGTCGACGTCATGCTCAGTCGAAATTATGTCAACAGTAAAGCTGTACGGGTCGTTCATATATCATAATGAGCAGCACTTCTCACAAAACAGATGCTTTATACACATAAATACTTGTTTATAAATGATTATTACTAACTTTTCTATGAACATGATTTGATTATAACTGCAGATCAAGGACAGTGCGAAATAGCCTACTGTAATGTCTCTAATTATATAAATAAATGCAACATGTATGAACACATACAGCCCCTTACAGTCTCCGATATATTATTAATTACAGAAAAATAATACACAGCAAACATTTAGTACTTATTTGAGTTCAAAAACACACGCAATATAGCCCACAGTTAGCACAAACCTCTCATCTGTGTCTGTAATCTTCACCAGCACATGTAAGCTCTGTTAGAGAGTCATTTTGTCATTCCCAGTTCATAATAGTCCAAAAGGCGAAGATAATCATGGCAGTTTGTTCATGATTCAGGTTGTTAAAACAATTTTGCTCCTGTGTTTTGCTGGGCTTCTCTTTTTTTCTGCGTTTCACTCTCGCGTTGTCCTTTTTTTCTGAATGGATCAGATGACGGAGACACTTCAATAATCATACACACACACACACGTTATCATCATCAGCTCAGGAAGTTCGTTATATCAAATATAGACGCGGATGCGAGCTCCCGGAAGAAAGCGAATACCGCTCGCACTTTTAGACGGGCTCTTAAAACAACAACAGGACATGACAGCTATTTCTTCTTGGCTGTGTGTCTGTTTGTGGAAACGGCGACAAGGTTTGTTTGAGCCCGGTTCATCCCATTGTTTTATGCATATAGTATTTTCATGTAATGTCTCTGCTTTGTATTTAAAAAAACATGGCGGTTCATTTGTTTACGTTCTGTGTAGCTCCACAAGCTTGGGACGTATCTTTGTAACCAATCAGCGTTCAGCTGCACGTGTTGCTCCACCTTTTGGTATCCTTTCTCTTGTTTGATACCCTTTTGAAAGGGTGCCGAAAAAGTGGTACGGTACGGTTTGGTTTGGTATGCTTTTTGACAGTGGAAACAGCCACAAAAGCGTACCAAACCGAACCGTCCCGTACCACTCAGTGGAAACGGGCCAAAAAATAACCGTGTATGTGTGGACATAGCTTTGGACCACTAGATCCAGGCTTTCAAGTAGGATGATTAGTGTTACAGCTGGCTAATGAGAATGTGGACATACATAAAACATCATTTTTGTGACTCAGTACAACAATAAATACTGTTTATTCATAAATGTAAGGGATAGGTGTTGACTTGGGGTCGGTGTAGATGTTAAGACACAATAGGTTAAATAAAGATAAAGTAAATATCTTATAATCCGCAGTCAAAAATGTTATGGTTCATTATATTGACCAAAATGAATATCAGTAAACAGAGTGGATTCTGTAATTGTAGTTTGGTGTATTGTTGGTGAATACTGAATATAATTCATGTGGATATTTTTGAGATACTGTAGCTCATTTAATGAAGCAGGGTCTGCAGGCTGGTCTCATCTGGACCGAAACGCTGCACAAGAACACGCCAAATGGGATGGCAGCTGAATGAAATGAGAGCTTGTTATCTGCATCTGAATTGTTTACATGGTTACATCACTTCAGTTTTTGTTCTCGCGCTCTGATTCGTTGC